GTAGCTTCAAGTGCCAATGTGGTGCGGTTTTGTTTCCATATTCTTCGTTCCAAATTACATCATTCAGTGCTGCTTCAGGATAGGCAAGTTTGCCTTGTAGTTGAAATGTTGTTGGTGAACTGCCACAAAAAACTTCACACGTCTCGTCAATATCCGACGTGGAGAAATGTATACTCAAAATCTTTCTTTCAACTGTCGGTCGGCACGGTATTGCCATTTTCGCCGACGGGCAAATTATGTTTGCAAGAGTCGATCCAAAGTCTGTTTTACATTCTAAGTCCACATGAGCTCCTTTTTTACAATCAAAACATCCTGTCAAATTTGCTCGGACTATACAAGTATTCATGCTTATTTCAGTCTTTAAAATCATTCCCTCAATTTTTATCTGAACTTCAGCTGACGTTAGATCGGGAAAAGCTGTTATTTCTCCGTAATCGACTTTTACTAATATTCCGTTATGATTGAAAGGGAGATTATTCGATTCTTGAAAAATTTGTTCATCTTTAATAATTTCTGTACAAAGACAATTTACATTATCGTCAGCTGGTCGACATGAACAGGTAAGTGGATCTACAGTGCAATTAAAATTGCCTGCTTGGTATTTATTTGCGCATTTAAATTTTTGTAATTGCGTTTCAATTTCATAATCTAGCATTGCTGCCTTTTTTCCATCAAATACAAAATTTTTATTTAAAACAGGCAGTATGGGAGTGGTTATGCTTTTTAACGTTATTTCTATTTTATTTTTGCCTTGTCTTGATGCCATTCCTGGTACTAGATTAAAGGCACTTTCCCATTTTCCCTCGTTTGTATCTATAGTCAAATTCATTCCAAGTCCTAACTCCCATTTAGGACATTCAAAAATTTCCAAAATTCTTTCATCAACAGGAGTGGCATAAAATCTATAGAAAGTACAAGCCGGGGTTGTATAAAAACATCCGGAAAACCAACCACCGCTACTTTCTACACATTGTGTTATTCCTGGGTAATCATTCGTGGCATTAAATTCAATTAATTTTTCATGAGATTTTATTTCGCTGCATTTTAAATCATAGCAGCTTCCTGTTTCAGGGCATCTCTTTGAAGATTCAACTTGCATGTGGAAAAATCGGGAAAAATATTTTAAACTTTTAGTACAAAAAGCCTTTGTTTTATGAATTTCCATTGTTAAAGTCCCTAATATTTTTCCGGTATGATCGTTTAAAGAAACTTGGATTTGTTGCTCTTCGGGATTAAATGTCAAAACAATTATTTTTTCAAACGAGCAGCTTCTTTCACCGAGTTTATTCACAACACAACTTTCTTCAGTTGCTTGTAAACTAGTGAGGCAAAAACATTTAGTTAGATTGATTAAAAACAATAAAGCAACAATCACTTTCATCGGACGTTTTTTCTTTGTTATTAGTGGTTTAGTTGGTTTTGGCTTTGATTCGTTTTTAATTTCCTCCTCCCTTTTACTTTTTCTTGCGATGAATCGAATAAATTTTATTTTATGTTTTATTACCCAGAATGTCACTTTCAAAATCAAAATTATTGTTTTAATAGCAATGTATATTAAGTTAGAACAAAAGTAAACTAAAATCCCAAACAATATCATGGAAACTTCGGGGAAACAATGCGGGTTCATTAAACGTTCAAAACAAAAGATACAATTCATTATTTCACAAATATTTAATTTTTCACACTCAATTTTCATTCTCTTTATTAATTCACCATTTTTATAAAATTGAACGTCAGTTTTGTATTTTTCCAAAACAATTTCATGGCTTAAAGTTATGTTTTCTATTTTTTCGGGGAGGGCTCTATAAAAACATTTCTTTTCGTTACAAATCTCTATTCCACCTATCATTTCATTTGTTTTTACTTGTATTCCTTCTTTTGTGCATTTTAATTCACACCCTTTACAAAGTGACGTTTCTTTTTTCGGAAAGCCATAAACTTTTATTTTCACTCTTCCCCATGCTTGTATCGCTACTCTTCCCTCCGGAGTGACAAAAAATGCTTTTTCAATTCTGGGGTAAAAACAAAATCTAGTTCCCTTTTCGGAACAATGGTATTTACTACAATATCTTGGGGAACCCGTAATTTCCTTTCCTTTTCCAATACAAACAAATTCTTTTATTGCATCTTCCAATTCTATTTTTAATTCATTTACCAAATATTTTTCTCCCGAAATCAATTCAATTTGGTTAAATTCCTTCATTTCGAATGTTTTTGCGCATGATTTATCTTCCTCAGTAGAACAAATTTTTGGCTTATTATTTTCCAATATTTCTTTTATTTTTTCATTTTTATCTTCCGTTTGGCCTTTAAAGAAAATACATTGTTCTGCCCAATCGGGACACGTGCATTTTTCATCACAGAGGTACTTGATATTTTTTGTTGGCCAACGTATGTGTTTATTCTTATCGTTGCAGCCTATTTCTTTCCAACAAAGTGACTTGTCTTTTCTTTCAAAAATTACCAAACCGTTCGATTTACACTCTTCTAAATGTTTCAAAACTAAATTTTCATTTTGTGCGCAGCGAATACTTTGAACTTGAGCTACTTGACCGAAAGTCAATAAAAAAATTATTAACATTGTGAGAAGCGTTACCGAACTTTTTGCTACAACTTTTAACACGCTAGTTTGTTTTGATTTTTGATTAGACCCTTTATCCTCCTTTTCTTTTTTAGGGGTACAAAATTCGGTTCTAATTCTTATTAAATCATTTTTATGTCTTTCTATCTCATTACTCAATTCCTCTTTAGATTTTTCTTTCTCTGTCAATTCTTTTAAACAATTTTTAATTTCTATTATTTCTCTTTCTTGTTTTTTCAATTCTTTACCTATAGCTTCTTTTTCAATTTTTTCCTTTGACAAATCATTTTCAACGCTATTTAATTTTTCCTCTAGCGTTAAATATTTCCCTTCTAGGTTTTTATATGACTCTTGCCAATCCGTCTCTACTTTCGATGAAGAAGGGGGTTCCTTTTGATTTAAATTTTGATTATTTTGGTTTACAAATTCGTTTCTTCTATACCAACATTTTTGTGAGGGGTGTCCGGATCTGCCACATATCGCACATTTCATTTCTTGTCTGAACATTGCTATTCTTACCTGCTCAATATTTTGCTTTTCTTCTTCTGATTCACTTTCTATTTCTTTATAATTTATTTTCTTTTTAGCTCTCAATTCCATTTTGTGTGTTTTCTGGTTCTGATTTTTTAATTCACTATTTTCAATCTTGTCCTTTTCCCTCTCAATTATTTTTTCGGGCATTTCTGCTTTTAATTCCATGGGATATAATAAGGCAATTGCGCGGGTAATGATTTTTCCTTTAACCCGAACTTTAGCAATTCTTATTAACCCGTCTTTACTTTTAATTAATTCAACAATTTTACCCAAGTTCCAGGCTTGTTTTGGCACCTGTTTATTTTGTATCAACACTATTTCACCAATTTCGGGCAAATAATTTTTCTTGTACAACTTCTGATTATGTTTATCTGCCCTTTCCTTTAGCTTATTTAAATACTCTTTTTCCCATTTTTGCCAAAAATGATTTAACATTTGATTTGAATTTTCCCATTCTTTAATTAATATTTCTCTTTGGGTTTCCTTTTCTAAAAATTCTTTTTCATCGAAAATTTCTAACTCTATATTTTCTTCATTACGTGATGGTAAAATAAGGTCAATTGGACGCAATACAGTATAGGCGTCGTCAAAGTTTTCGTATACATAAGTTAGTGGTCTTTTATTCATAATTGTTTTTATTTCTGAAAGTATTGTTCTTAACTCCTCATAGTTTAACATTTTTCTGCCTATAGCAGCCTTTAAAGAATTTTTCATAATTTTTACCATGGCCTCATATAAGCCGCCAAACCATGGGCTGAGGCTTGGGATAAACTGCCAATGTATTTTTTCTTTTTCTGTTTTTTGTTCAATTTCTTGTATTACTTTACATGTTAATTTATATTGCGTGCCGTTATCGCTTATAAAATATTTTGGTTTGCCGTATTCCGATATAAACCTGCGCATGGCTTGAATACAAGATTTTGCGGATAAACTGGGTATTAATTCCAAATGCGTGAATCGTGTGGCCATACAAGAAAATATTTCAATCCAGACTTTTACAATTTCACCGCTACTATTTTTTACTTCAAAAGGGCCGGCATAATCCAAGCCTGTGTTTTGAAACGGCTTTGAGCGTAAAATTCTTTCTTTAGGGAGATCTGGCATTTTTGGAATCGAGTAGGGCAATAATTTTGCCTTTTTGCAATGTAAGCATCGATTTATTATTTTCTTTATTAATTGCCGTCCGCTTGGTACCCAAAACATTTGTCTCAATTCAATTAAACTTTGATTAATTCCACTATGTAATGTGCGCAAATGCGCTTCTAACGCAATTTTTTCTGCCAGTGGGGCTTCTTTTGAAATAAAAATAGGCGTTGGTGTGTTTATATTTCCTAAACGCCCTGGGCAAGTCCACATATTATATTTTTCTTTTTTCATTTTTAATTCTTGTATTTCCTTTTCATTTGGCGGGTATTTATTTTGTGCTTCTATTATTAACAATATTTCACCCATTTTTCTTAAATCGACTTTATTTTTAATTTTTTGTAAATTTGACCCAAATTCCGTTTTAAATTTAATTTTTCTTCCAAAATTTTTTATTGCTTGACAAAACGCGGTAGAAATATTAACAAGTTTAGGCCATTCATTACGCAATTCCGTATTGATTAAATCCTTTGTCAACATTTCAATTTTTATTTCTTCCAAATCTTTACTCCACTCTTTTTCATTCCTTTTTAACTCTGGTGATTGGGGCCACTTTTCTTCACTCTCATTCAAAAACTGCGGACCCTTCCACCATTCTTTATAATTTTTCAGTTCATTCGTAGTGCAACCACGTGACGCAATATCTGACGGATTTTTCTCTGTGGGAACGTATTTCCATTCAATTTCTTTATTTTCTCTCAAAATTTTAATTCTATTTTTTACAAATTTTGGTAATTTATCAATGTTTGACAATAAAATCCATGAAAGTACACATTTAGAATCCGTCCAAATATATATTTTTGTAAATTTAATATCAATTTCTTTTATTATAAAATCTGACATTCTTTTTCCAGCAACGCTTGCCATTAGTTCTAATCGGGGAATTGTTAATTTATTTTTTATCGGGGCTAATTTTCCTTTAGACATGATTATAGATGTTTGTACCCCATTTTTATCAAATTGTCTTAAATAAGCGACTGCTGCGTATGCTTTACCGGAAGCATCGACAAAAACATGTAACTCAGTTGGATTTTGTTTATTGACTGAAATTCGCCTTATTTGGAAATTGCCATAATCTACTTTAATTTTATTCCATTCCTCACATTCCGTCTTTTCAATTTCTTCATCCCAAGTTTTATCTGTTTTCCACAAGCTTTGGAAAAATAATTTTCGAGGCAAATTAGCTGGTACTAAAAATCCAAGTGGGTCAAAAGAGCTCGCTAAAGATTTTAAAACACTTCTTTTCGTCCATTTAGTTTCTTTAATTTCCTTCAACTCAATTAAAATAGTGTCTTTTTCTAAATTCCAATTGAGACCCAAAAGTTTTATAGGGTTCTTTTGCTCTTTATCTCCAAATGTTTTATTTATTTCATTCAAATTGCTACAAATTTCGTGTAAATTCATTTTGGCCTCTTCAAAAATTTTGGATACCTTTTGACATTTTTGTTTTGCCTCTATTTCATTTTCGGCACAAAGAAATACATTATCCGCATAAATACCTCTTTTTAATTCACTGCTCAGTGGCGAATTTAAATTTTCAATGTGGTAATTAATTACCGCTGCTAACAAATATGGAGCGGCGATTACCCCGAAGGGCATTCTGGCAAATCTCCATTTAACAATATTTTCATATGTTGGGGGTGACTCTATATCATTAATCCATAAAAATCGTGTTAAATCACGTTGTGCTTCATTGATTGCTATTTGATGGAACGCCCCCTTTACGTCAGCCGCAATCAAATTTTTAAAGGTTCTAAGTCTTAAAAGCATTCCACAAATATCAGGCAATAAGACTGGACCCCTCAAAATTATTTTATTTAAACTCAATCCATCCTTTGTCCTACAAGAAGCGTCAAAAACAATTCTTACTTTCTTCTTTTCTTCGTTTATGACGCAATGGTGGGGAATATAATGGGCTATTTCACTTTCTTTCTCACATTTTTCGATAATACAATTTTTAGCTTGTTCAACAAATAATTGGTTATATTTTTCTAAAATTTCGGGATTTTTATTTAATTTATTCCAAACCCCTTGTAATCGCTTCATTGAAATCCAAAAATTGTCCGCTAAAGTTTGATTTTCTTTAATGGGCCAGGAAACAATATATCTACCATTGTTTTCTCTTTTTATATTTGATTTAAAATGTTCAATGGCAAATTTATCGTCTTCAGTTTCCTTTGTTATATCAATGCCTAGACCTTCTAATTCCCACCACAGGTCTGTATTTACCATTTGACAAATTTTTGTATTTTCAGGGCCTTTTGAAATTTTTCCCTTTCCATAAATTATATTTCCAATTTTTGTATCAACAGTTAAAAATCCAGATTTTAATTGTTTATTTCCAAAAATTAATCCGTAATAATCGGCACCTATTAATATTTCGGGTTTTACCGTTTCGAATTGCCCAATGTTTATTTTTGACATTTGGTCAATTCTATTATTTATTTTAATTTTTTCTAAAAATTCGACCATGTCATTAGTGCCTCTAACAATCATATTTATTTTCTCATTATTTAAACAAATTAAATCAATAATGTAAATAGGCGCATTAACAGTTATTGTTTTATTAAAAAGTCCAATTCCTCTAAATTCTTTATGACCAATGGGTTTCAATCCAAGTTTTACCGCAGTTGAATTATGTAAGAGGGTGATCTCGCATCCAGAATCGAAAAATGCTTCCACATTTAAAAACTTCTTCTTTGTGGGATTTTTTATTTTTACTTGTGCGACCTGTAAAAGTGTCTTTTCATTATTGTTTTCTTTAATTTCTTTTTTATTTGCAAAATTTTGTATTAATATGTCATTTTCGTTTTCAGAATTATCAGAATTTTCCCTGACGGCCAGACACATTTGTTTTCTTTTATTGAAATCATTCCCAAATTTTTCAAAATTTTTTATGGGACTTGGTTTTTGTTGCCCTTTTGTATATAAATTATGACAAAAAACAGAAATATGGCCATTTTTCTTGCAATTAAAACAAAATGTATTGGCCTTACAATCTATAGAGCGATGATTATTTCTTAAACATTTAAAACAAATTTTTAGCTCTTTTATTCTTTTTATTCTCTCCTCTTTAGTTTTATATTTCTCACATTTATCTTCCCAATGAGAGAGAGAACAGAATTTACATGCGTGCTTATGCTCTTTTTGGAACGCATACATAGCTGTTCCTTTGAATTTTTTATAGGGTTCTCTATTATTATATTTTTCAGGCTCTCTATTTTTATATTTTTCAGGCTCTCTATTTTCTTTTTTCTGATAGGGCCTTTCATTTAATTCTGAACCGAAATCTTTATGAAGCATGTGCACGTCTTCTTCTAATTTTAAATATTCATCTAAAAATTTTAATAATTTTTCTAAAGACCATAGTGGGTCTATTCTTTTTCTCTTAAATATTTCAGTCAGTATCTTTTTGGGCATTTTTGATTCCACCTCTAAAATTAGCTGTTGGTGCTCAGTATTTTCGCCCATTAATTTTAACTGATTTATAATTGCCTCAATTTTTCTTAAAGTTTTTCTAATTTCGGGCACAAATTGGTTCGCCCTGGGCAATTTTCTTAATTCAGAATGCAGGCTGCTTCTGATTGTTATTTTATCCCCAAATCTATTTTTTAGGAGATCTAAAACGAGCTTGTAATTACCCGCTTCCAACGGATATGGCTCGACAATTTCTAGGGCTTCATTTCTCAAGGCACTTTTTAAATACTGCATTTTCCTTTTATCAGGAATTGGCTGCTCATCTACTGCCGCTTTAAATTCTTCGAAGAAACTTTGCCAATTTTTAGTATCCCCCGAAAATTCTGGCAGTTTTATTTCTGGCAATTTGACATTCATTTCATTTGCCTGACTTTGTGCCTGCCCTGTATTATTATTTAAAATTTCTTCTAAAATATACTCATTTTCATTTAGGGCCTCAATAATTTCCCGAGCTTCTTCCATAATAGTTAGATAACCCTCGGGCCCATTTGCGAAATTTTTATATTCATTCTTTTCCTCTATTTTTTCTTCTCTGTCTAAAGTAGGGAAAAGATTTACATAATTGACTGTCTGGCCGTCTAAATCATTTAATAAATTACTAATTTTCTTTTTAGTTAAAGTTATATATTTTATCATTCTTTTGGCCGTTAAAATTTTTTCTTCCATACCTAAATCAGCAGCAATTCTAAAATCGGCGTCTGTAGCCGCTGTATTGTATCTGATGAGGCGCTCTTTCAGCCCATTGATTGCCTCTTGTATTACTCCTGACATATCCCCTTTGGAAAGATTGCCTACTGTAAAATGTCCTTGGACCTCGGTAAATGTGACCTCTATAAGCTTGTTGTTGACCACGGAAGGTTTGTTGGCCTCTCACAAATCGGTAGTTTCTGCGGTGTTGTCTAAAATTCCTATGCTGCCCACGAAAATTTCTTTGATTTCTTGGTCGTCGGTAGTTCTGTTGCCTCTGATTTTGTTGCCAATGCCTCCAATAACGTCGGGGCTGTTGGTAATTTTGTCTATTATTTAATTGGACGCTGCTTCCTTGCTGTTGAGCGTTTGGAGCAGGTTGAGGCTGTATTTGAATAATTAAAGGTTGTGAATTAGCAGCTTGTTGTATTTGAGCCGGCTGTAATTCGCTTGGTTTTTGCCGAGCAACCTTTAAACTTCTATTTAATAAATTTTGAGCTACCCGATTTCTATTTAATAAAACTTTCCTTTGAATTGATGTCTTTGGTTGTTGATTTGGGCGCGAAGAAACACGTTGTGCGATTCCAACACGTTCAAAAATTGAACGCTCCGATGAGCTCAGTTTGAACAATTAGACCGAGTGGCACCAAATGTTAGAAACAATATCTTTTTAATTATTTCTAGCCCTTCTAAATTTATCCAAAAAAGGAATATTTCTTTATTAATATTTATTCAATTTAATAATAATTTTACAATTAGGCTTAAGGGGATTATTGGGGAATTTAAAAGTGAATTGAAGCTGAAGCTAAAATAACAGAAATAGCTGAGTTTAAATAAACAGGGAAATGACAAAAATGATTAAGAATGTTAAATAAAAATAAAGTTTAAGAAATTGCATGAATAAGAAAATATATTTGAAAAGGACATTTTTGGATTTAAAAATAAAGAATTAATCATATAAAATAAATCACACATATTTTGATTGTAATTTAACATTATTTCTAACACTCCGACTGAGCCTTGAAAATCTTTTCCAATTCTTCTGCCTTCATCTAGAATTTAATGGTTTGAATACCGAAGAGGGAATTAATTACGGAATAACGAGTCAGAAAACATGTTATTTTCCTACAACATATGATTTATTAAATTAAGAGATCTCTTCTTTAAAATTTATTAACTTTTAATTTAATGTCTGCATCTAAGCATGCATGAAATTGGCGAAAACTTGAAAATTTAGGTATATTTAACATGACAGACCCCATTTTTTCATCCCCAAGTTTTTTCTTAAATATCTACAGAATGGTCTGACTTTTCTTTCTTCTATCCCAATTGCCTGAAGTTTCATTTTTTAATTGAGAAAATGAATTTTCTCACAGCTCATACATGTTAAATACCGAAAATTAATCCTCCTCAACTAGGAGGAGGATTTGTGAATATCCTCCTGTTATTGTGGATATCTTATAGCGAGGCCCTACTGTGTTTTAAATGTGTTATTTATCAGCGAACATGTCATTTTACTACAACATATCATTTATTAGATTAAAATATAGTTAAATGTTTTTATTGAGCTGACATCAGCCCAATGCTGACATCAGCCCTTGACATCAGCCCAATCGGTGTATTTTTGGAAGCCATCAGAGATGGTTGATAATGCTGACTAATAAGCTCCGACTGAGCCTTGAGAATCTTTTCCAACTCTTCTGCCTTCATCCCAAATTTAATTCGTTGAATACTGAAGAGCTTTTCGAATTACTTAATAATGAATCAGCAAACATGTTATTTTACTACAACATATCATTTATTAGATTAAAATATGTTTAAATGTTTTATTGTGTTGTATCAAGAGAACGTCTCGGGCTGATGATTGATATATTTTTGGTGCCATCAATGATGGTTAATAGTTGTAAAAGCCCGATTCAAACACGACTTCTTCCATCAAACCTTTTCCAACCGACTTTTTCTACTCAATATTCGTTTATTAAATTATCTTTTGTTTT